GGGGGGGCAGAAGTAACACACTTAGGACATTAACCAAAAAAATTTGGTGCATATTTATTGAATTGCACTAGTGTTGCACCCTTACGACTGCAGCCTACTTTTCCGTCATTGCAAATTAAGGCATCGCAAGAAACTTGATATTGGAAAATATATAATAGGTATGGTTTTAAAACTTATAAGATATTATAACCACATCTTGGGCTATGCAAGGAACTAGAATCAACTAGAATCAACTAGATATGGCCATGCATTCATAAAAATTTTGCATCACGAATAATGGTATAGCAAAACATCCTAAGTTCATTGACCAAAATGTCTAGAACTTATGTTTGGTTAGTCCAAATTCAAAAATACTAGTTCCTTGCATAACTAATAGGCAGATGAATATTCAGTAAAAATTTCAGGTCAATACCATTTATAGTTTTTCAGAAATCGCAAAAACTAATTCAAAAACGCTCGAAAATGACAAATTGAGAAAATCAGTCGCAAAGTTTGGTATAACTAATCAGTTCAGGTTTAGGGCTCAAAATGCCCCAGCTTCATATTGGGTAACTTCCTCTTCTGACAGGTTGTCGATATAGCCTTTTTTTCTCTTTCTTATCTTTTTTCGATTCTCTTATTTTTATGTTTGTCGGAGCTCTTTCGTGTGGAATGGGAGATATGGTCATAGTCTATTTTCATGCGACACTTCTTTGTCTGACACCCCGGTTTGAGCAATGTTGATGACCTTCCCACCAATGTTCAAATTCCTCTGAACCTTTCTTGCTGCTCCAGGTAATACACTCCCAGCATTCATTTGACATGACTTCAACGTCTAGCACTTTTCCGGTAATCAACGACATGCCAGTAACGACCCCGCAGGAAGATGGATATCCCCTTCGTCTCCAGATCCCGTCCGCAGTAATACCAATAACCAATATCATACACACCATCTTCTGGTTCATAAAACTGCTTTGTCTCCTCAGCTGCACTTTTCATGCTTGCCTTGGCAACAACTTCAGCAGCTCCATGAATAGCTGTCACATGGTTGGTGTATAAATTTGCATTCATAGGTGCCAACATGTTCACTACACCACAAAACTTCACAAGCCCTTGGTGACCAACTCCAATGTTTCTCACTCTCCCAGCCCTTCTATTTCCTTCAAAAGCTTTAGACTTATTATTCACCCGACTTGATGTATAAAAATTCATAGAATATGAACACATTTTGGCAGAACATTCCAGCGAAAGTTGTGCCACAAGTCCCATCTTTGCAGTTATGTCTTCCTTCATAACAATGTGACCCGACTTACATTTAGGGCATATAAGGTGTTGTAAATGGACATCAAAATCTTTATATCTATAATTCTAAACCCATCAGTACAGTTTTTTTCATCCACACTTGATAAATCACAGTCAAGTATCCTTTTTGAGGCAGGCAATGACCTAAATTCTGAAGCGCTCGATGATGTCACTTCATCTGAAGCAGTAGTCAAATTTGACGTACTTGTTTCAGCAATTTTCTCCTCTTTAGAAGCTTCAGAATCAGGTAATTCTTCGACTTTGACATGACGGTTTCAGTGAAACTTTCGTTTTTTTTCTTTCAATCGAATAAATTTCTTATATCAGGCATTTCTAACGAAAAATACAATCCTAACAAATTTGTTTTCTAGCTTTCTCTTTCAATTTGAATTTTGACTTGGTAACCAGGCAATGTAATTATATCTACTTACCAGTCCTCTTTGTAAAGATGCGCACTTTTTACAAAACAACGATAAAAAACGGTATACAAAGCCGTTTCATAGGGTTATTTTGAAAAAAAAACCAGATGCGGTTTCCATGGTTACGAGTGCAAAATATGATGGTGCATTTTATAAAAAAACCCAAACAACTGAAAATACCCTGATATTATTTAAAAAAACAATTGTATTTGAAAGATTAGTGCTTAAACTTTCAAGAAATATTGTTTTCAAAAGATTCAAATTTTTTTTTCCCTATCGAGCCACCTTATTAAGCCATTTACAACATTCGCGTCCGTTTTGTATCGGATATACAAACTGTCGCCTTCGGCTCAAGTTTGTATATCCGATACAACACGGCCGCTCATGTTGTTAATAGTACTTCGCGACTTCGGCGACTGTTTGAACAGAAATCTGTTACAGCTTTTTTACTGTATAACCACCTCGGTTAAAAAACAGTCCGTAAAATTACAGTACATTCTCTGGCATCCCAGCTGCCAGTATATTTTGCTGTAAAATTACAGGGTGGTTTAACAGTGTATTGGGGCAAGCAATTGGCCTACTAGGGTAAATGTCCTCGTCCAGTGCATTCGACCAAATGTGTGATCTTCCATTGTTGCCTCGTTGAATGAAAGTTTCTATTTTTTACCCCCGTCATGACAATTTTTTTGCCCTAATACAGTACACTGCACAGGCAATGGCTTTGCACTAATAAATATTCATTGTATTAACAGGATGTAAAAATGCAAAGGCTCTCGGAATGGAGAATGGTAAAATTCGTGATAATCAAATCACGGCATCAACCCAACATAATTACGGCCATCGGGCACCTAACGGGAGACTCAACTTCAGAGCAGGTAGTGGGAGAACTGGGGCATGGTCATCGCTAAGAAATGATCGGAATCAATGGCTACAAGTGGATTTTCAACGATCTACGATCATTACAGGAATAAGTACTCAAGGACGTACAGATTGTTGTAATCAGTTTATCCAGAGCTACACGATTTCCTTCAGCGATGATGGAAAAAATTTCCGTAGTTATAAACCAGGGGGAATGCTTAAAGTAGGCTGAATTGCATGTGCATGGGGTCTTCCTTATTAGATATCCAGCTATTTCAATTAAGATTGTTCCCGAGCAAAACGGAAAAGTCAAATACGAGCGCGAAAGGCTTGCTGGGAATCGCTAACAAATTAATGAATTTGTTAGCGATTCCCAGCAAGCCTTTCGCGCTGGTATTCGACTTTTCCGATTTGCTCGGGGACAACCTTAATTGAAATAGCGGTATACGAAATTGTATTATATGTATATGTCTTTATTATCACTTCCATTAATTTTAGGTATTCCGGGGAAACAGCGACAGAAGCTCTATTGTCAATCGTGTTGTTACACCTTCTATTAAGGCTCGATTCATTCGCATTCATCCAAGAGTCTTCCATCATCATATCTCTATGAGGGCCGAATTTTACGGTTGTTCATATTGATGTTCTTCTTAGTCCGAGAAACAAAACGAAGGAAAATAGAGGGATTGCTCGCAGTCTAGATGTTCTCCGGTTATGGTACCTTGTTTTACAACTCATTTGGGTTATATACTGGAATTGATCTAAATTTCATTAGATGTAGTTAATTAACTAAGGTATCTTGTCCTACTATATTCATTTTGATAATATCTCAATTGGAATTGATTAAAATTTCATTAGAAGTGCTTAATTAAGTTATCGTTTTCTTATATTTTACTTGTGGCTGTATACATTTACTATTGCCATCACCCAGGGCTTTTTAAGATTAATGCGTCCTTGGGGGGAGGGGGGCATGTACAAAAAGGGACCAAAGTATCATAGTATACAAATCGTGGAGAGATGACAGATGGTATAGTTGGTGACTAAAAGTTTGGTGGCAGAAAGGGTGGTCTGGGGCATTCCTATCCAAAATATGTTCGTATTTTCTACCCCTATGACTGCATTTCGTGCGCTTTCTCTCTTTTCAATACATTATACTGTAGATAGACTGAATTTTCAGTTGAAGTACTTTGCATGATATGTTTATGTAAATACCACAACTCGCGATCGGTCACCAACTTGTTTAGCCTAGAGATCGGAACAACTCAAATCTATAGGGTCTGGGATATGCCATCCACTCGGAAATTTTTAAAATCTAAGGTATCATGCATGCAGCGCAATGTTTAAATTAATGTTTTTAAAAAGACATTGAATCATTTGAAGATAAAGTACATAACATAAGATTCACAAAACAAGGTTCAGTCATAGTGGAACATCAAACTACCCTTCTAAATTTCATTTTTCGTCCAATGTTTTGCTTATATTTTAGAGAATAGGGACTTGACTGTGGCACTATGGGGCTGGGGGGTTTCAGTGCTTCCCCAAGTAATGTCGTTAAAAAGACCCCACAATTACCTTAGAATAGAATGATTTTATTGAAACAGGGGGATTCCTTCAATGTAAAAACATTGCTATCACATGTATTTTTTGTTTGCAATCACGTGACTTTTCATCCAAATGCATGACGGGCAACATCAAACAACTTGTGGACGATTTTTCTCCTATCAGAATGGTTGTATAGCAAGAAAAACTGAACGGTTATTCATCTTTTGAGTCCTAAACTGTCTGTAAACTCGATCAATACATTAAAATAGCAATTTTTTGTTATGCCTGCCCGTCGACTGAAATCCCAAAATTACGTCATTGCAACCAAAGAATTGCTTTGGTGCAAGTACCCCACCTCTGAGTTCCTGGATTCGATTCACGCTACGTACGGACTCATGTGAAAAGAGTCAGTCAACGCTCTGCCGAAAGTCGTTGGTTTCCTCCGGGTACTCCGGTTTCCTCCCACAGGGAAAGTTGACACCCTGGGTACGAGGTCGGGAAAGTTGACAGGGTGAGTTAGGATAAACACAGTTAAGAAAGTAAGCACAATGTTGTAAAGATAAATAGTATGAAGGCTACGCACTAAAATGGAGGCTGGTCGCGCCGGGGTTGAGGAGATCTTCAAAAAAAAGTTAACAAAAGTAAAAACAGTTAGATTTTCAAAAAAAGTTTAAAAAGTCAGATTAGGGCGGGTTGGGGTTAGGAGTTAGTGTTAGGGGTTAGGTGCCGCAAATTTATCATATTGATAAATTCAGACGTGTTTAACAATTTACTCATATCAAATTTTACCAATCAACTTGTAGGATTTGTTATGTGCACTTGTGCAAAAATACTAAAATCTGTTGTTTGGTGCCAAACAAGGAAACGTTTCGGAAGCCATTAAATACAAATACAGATATTGCACAGCACACTCGCTATCAGGGTTTTTCAGTGACTGGTTACATTAGAACCGGAACTGACGCGAAGCAGACCGAGGTAGACTGTGAGCTTACAAATGGCGCTTTAATAAAGCCGCTATTAGTCCATACCTCATTAATGATCTGGCCCCTGACTGAAGGCTAGTTTCCACTCAGGAAAATTATCCGTGGATTGGAACGGGCAAGAAAATGTTTCTTTGTCTTGTGAGCTCTGGGTTGGAACTAATGACCTTAAGACAAAGAAAAATGTTCTTGTCCGTTCCAATCCACGGATAATTTTCCTGAGTGGAAATTAGCCTTTATGTGTGTTAACCCATCCTGTCGACTTTCCCTGTGCAGGCCTTAAAATATCTTTTACAGGACCGTCTGACAAAATGTCCGGTGACGTTGAGTTTGGGTCGGACATATTTGACAGTTCAGTTTTGACTCGGAAATAAGTCTGAATGACACAAATGAATAAACTGTAAATGTTGTAAAGATATTAAATAATTTGTTTCTTTTATACTTATGTCCAAGCCAAAATTAACTTGCTTTCCAGAACAGCAGTATTAATAGACTTCGACAACTTAAGCCCGTTTTCCACTTCACCATTTCGCTCGCCGCGCCGCGCTCGACTACGTTAAAACAACATTTCCAGTTCACCTTTTATACAATAGTACTATGATTTTCCATTTAACATACAAGCCTCTAGTCCTGGGCTAGGGTACATTTTGATTTACGTCGGACAAAGCTACAGTTCGGTCGGACACCAACACACTCGGGTCGGACAAACAATAAACCTCAGTTTCACTTTGGTCGGACAGAATGTCCGGTGGTTTCCTCTCTACGTCGGACAATTTCACGAAAGGGTCGGACAATGTCCGTGACCGACCGATATTTTAAGGCCTGCCTGTGGGAGGAAACCGGAGATTCGGAGTACCCGGAGAAAATCCACGACCTTTGGCAGAGCGTTGAATTTTACTCTTCTCACTGAGATTTGGACCTGGGACCTTAAGCCCAGGGCAAACTAGGAAACATTGTTGCGGAAACATTGTTTCCCACCAATGTCTCGCCATGTTTCCCAGAGTGGGCAAACACTAGGAAACATTAGCGAGAAACATAGGGAAACATCAAATGTTTCTGAGTTTGCTAGGAAACATTTTTGCTTCCCGGGAAGCAAATCTTGTTTCCGCGACAATGTTTTCACGGGTGGGCAAACATGGAAACATTTGAGGAAACACCGAGAATTACAAATGTTTCCGCAACAATGTTTCCTAGTTTGCCCAGGGCTTTAGAGGTGAAAGGCAATTGGGCTAACCACTTCACCACCAAAGCCCCATAGCATAATAGCAATTATTAGTATAAAACCACTGTCAACAACTCACTAAAAATAAAACAAATAATTTAAAACACTGAACCAGGAAGAAATGTTTTTGAATAGAAAACTCGGCCTGATTTCTCACTAAGTACTTATTATATAAAAGCACAACAGTTTGACATAAACAATTTTTATTAATTTATAAGCTGATTTATACTGTATTGTATACTGTGTTTTTCCAGGTTATTACACCATACGTGCTATAATTTTGGTAGTGTTAGTCAATGACGTCATCATGCAAGGAGTTCGGATTATAGACCCCGTTTAGTTTTTAATTATTCTTGTAACGTTTTCGGAGGTATTTTCTACTGCTTTTCTTCAGGCAATCGATGTTGTTCGTTTACAAAAAATGATTGGTGAATATCTTGCACAGAGCCTGCCAGAGAAATTTGAGGGTCCGGGCAAATTTTTAGTTCGGGGGCCCTATTTCCCCCCAAAAATGTTGGCAAGCGGTGGAGGAGGTAAAAACTGTTTCTCGGACATTTCAAAAAAAAGGTTCAAAAATTATCCCGGACAAACACAAGTTAAATTAAGGTCAAAATACTTTTTTTGGACCAATACCTGTAAAAACATGGGTAAAACATTATTTATATGCCACTGAACACACGTGATTATTGTCTATCCTATACATAAAAAATGCAAATACCACTCGATATACCTTCAATCTTCATCATCCGTCCGCATTTTACCCTCTCGTCCGTCCGCATTTTACCCTTTCTCCGTCCGCATCCGCGTTTTACCCTAACCTGATGAACACGAGGACGAACATTCTATTTTTATAAACTAGTCATGCAGCATATTTTGATGTCTGGGAAGAAACTTTTGTCATTTATCAATTCTGTGCCCAATCATTTATATTGTGAATAATCGACCGAATGTCCAAAGGGCAAAGGTAAGTTCATATAGCAATTATTTAGAAAAGAAATAGCTTACATTTTTGAAGTCGTCTCAGACTTTTGGTAAATTTGGTTCCAATGAGGCAATGATGCGACATTAATTCGCCATTTCATATATGTTGTTTTGAAATGCTTTATATTTACAATTTATAACTCGAACATTCATTTTGATGAACGTATTATGCTTGAACACAATTAAATGAGACCATCCTATAACTATTGTTCTCAAATTCATTAATAATTCATGAGTAATTCAGCCAATGATAATCACCTATTTGATCACAAGATGCCATTTGGATACTTGATGAAAGTCACTAGTGTTTTCATCAAATATCTTAATTACGCATGCAAAACTAATTGAATAGAATTCCTAATTACGTTATGCTTGGTTAAGAATTCTATTCAAATCAGCAAACGAAAACATTCTGTTACGTCTCGATTCATTTGAGAAGCCATATAAACAACTCTAGCTCGTGTCTCACCGGGATATCCAAACACTCGAAAACAATGTATGAAAACACTCGCGCTCGTGTTCTCATACATTGTTTTCTCGTGTTTGGATATCCCGGTGAAACACTCGCTCTCGTTGTTCATATATTACGTCAAAAATTAGTCTGCAAACCTAGTTAAATTCAGCTTTTATTAAGGTGATATTTTGCATATTTGCACTCGAGAATGCTTTGTATGGCACATGCGAAAGAAATCCCCATATATCGAAATAACCCTGTTATCTAATACGTTTATAAAACGAACTGGCCTGATGGCTGCAATCCAGACGAATTTTCGCGATAGAAAACGAAGATTTCAATCAATTTTTGGCGTAAACATTTTGTAAATTGTGGATTCAAAAGGGATTTCCCCTTTCTCTAATTCTCTTGTAGTCAAGCGAATAAATCATAAATGTTTAGATTAATGATATATTGATATTCAAGGCTGTGTGACGAAGCCACCTCGTTTTGAGATTGTTGCGCCGTAAAAAATAAAAGCTAAATTTGATATTGTTAGGCAACTTGACTTGACAAACATGCAAAACTTTTCATATGGATAATGATTTAATAGCCTCCTCCGCAGGCAACTCTTTTTGGCAAAAATTGGCAAAAGTATTATGAATAACAGCGAATTTAAAGTTAGGGATCACTAGGGATTCACATTTTTGCCAATTTTTTTATTCATAATACCACTTTTGCCAATTTCTACCAAATAGTTACCCGTGGAGGAGACTCGATAATGATCATTTTTCATGTGGTGTAAATCAGGCTAACAAAATATCTTGT